ACGCTCTTAACTAGTAATCCAAAAGATAATTGGATTGCGCACGAAACAGATCCAAGAAACTTCCAACAACAACGAGCATACCTCACCCATTAGCACCCTTTCTAATTAATCTCAACTTAGCGCCATACCTGTCAACGAAACCATCAACATTACTCCACGACGAAAACAAACGAAATCCACACTCAGGCTTCGATCCCAGTCTCATCCGTTTAATTCGTGCAATCCAGTCGACGATGTCCGACCAATCACCGATTCTTTTCTACCCCGCGACGATCTCGAGCTCACCCTTTCCTTCCTAGGGGAATTTTCCTCCGGCGACTTCGAATCCCAGACTTTGTCGAGTAAAGATTCGTTTGTGTGCCAACCAGTTGCACGAAGTTTCATCAAATTCGACGAGCAAGTAAATTTCAAGAGAATTTGTGACAGAAAGTGAGAAAGATACTGAAGAAAAGAAAAAAAAAGAAAAAGGAAAGAAAAGACAGTCCGACCGCACTTCACCGTTGGTATTGAACGTTGTTCCCGCGAACAACGGGAAGCCGAAGAGGAGCGACGAAGGATAAGAGCCCCGAAAAGATGCGGCGACGGGACTCGACGCGAGACTGGAGCAGCAGATTGTGAACGAGCCGCACCGAGAGAGGGCTCATCCGCAGAGAAGAGAAGAGACTCCTCTTCCCTCGTCTTCTCGTCTCTCGTTCCCTCCACGCACGCACGTCCTTTCCCTCCTCGCCCTGCTCTCGCGGCGACGTCCAGCTGACGGCCGGGAGAAAACACCAAGAAGAGAACCACCGATAGTCCCACCCCGTCTCTTTCTCTCTTTCTCTCTCTCTCTCTCTCTTTTTTCTCTCGTCCCTGTCAACGCGTTCACAAATGTGCGCTGCAGCGCGCGGCACGCGTGTACGGGCACGCGTGAAGCGAGTCTCAATACACGTACGCATACGTAATTACGTACGGCGAGACTGTTTGAGAGTATGCACATGTGTCTTGGAATTTTTATACGTGATCGTATCGTTGGTTACATCCACTGGGAATTTTCATTTCGAGAAGGAATCGCTTCTCAAACGAAATTTTCTGGCCAAAGCGAAAAACTATAGGCTGGAAAAAAGTAAATCATTCTGAGAAGAAGAATTCGTTTGACGTTCTTCAAAGACAGTAAACTGAAGGAAAGATTTTTATTTCGAGATCAGACGAACTTACGTGGCTGTCGTGTGTCGATTGCGTCTCGTGCGACAGGGGAGGCTTTGGAACGCGGTGGGAAGAGCTTAAGACGAGCAGAAATTAGATGTTTCTTTGGTTTTACTGCTTTTTTTTTTTTTTTTTTTTTTTGAGGAAGTAGTCTGTGACGGTGTTTCATAATTGGATTCTTAGGGGAAAGAAAAGAGACATTTCGTGTGGAAGGGAAGCTTTGAAACTTATTGAGACGATCTCAAGACACGAAGATCAAGTGTTTCTCTCTCTGGTACTTTTGTGGAACAGTGTTTCATAATTGGATTTCTTAGAGAATGAGAAAAGGAAAAATAAAGTAGATTTTCGATCTTTGCAGTTAAATTTCTTGAAAAAAAAATGAAAAAAAAGTGAGTCGTAGATAGATAAGAACATTTAAAATTTAGAAGTGCAATTTAATTATTTAGATTAAATCATTCATCATCATCAGATTTTTTTAAGAAGATAGAAGAAAAATTGATTTTTTTTTGTTTGCTTTTCGATAAAAAAGAATTTAATGAAAAAGAAAATATTTTGGAATCGATGATCGTGAGCATCAAAGTTTCGGGAAAAATTCGCGACAAATTATGAACGTTATCACCTCGATTGAGAAATACCAACGACATTGGCCTCTGCGTTCTGAACTAATAACCGTGTTAAGAAGCCATCACTTCCGGCCAGTTCGATTAGAAACATCCATTGTTAGCTGACGCGGCGTCGTTTGCGAAGATTCGAACGAAGAGAAAAGAAATAAAAACGAAAAATCAGATATATAACTACACGAAGTGTATTCTTTCGCCAACTAAATTGTAACGCATAAAAAAATCCAATCCTCCTGACATCATCACCCTCCTTTTTATTACGTTACGTAATCCCATTCGAATGGAGTTATATGCGGGTGGCGACAATAACAGTGACAGAGAGTTTCCTTGACACAGAGGTTAAAAGTCAACTTCCAGATGAAGCACAACTTCCTTATTTTCGTCGTTATGTTGTCCGTTTGTAAACTTGCAATTCTAAGCAGCTTCTGAGCTCTGTCTCTACACGAATCACGCATACACAAAAGAGATATGTAGAGGAAGAAACATAGTAATGCGGTAAGTTTAAGTGTAATCTTTCGAGGTCGAGAATTTTTCTCAGAGATTTGCAAAGATAACGTATACAAACACGATGTATTTTTTTTTTTACAGCTATAGATGACTACGATAATGTATATCAGGTTATAAAAAAAATGTGTTTAATTCCATTCTCAATTCGAGAAATTTAATTCCGTTTTTTAATTTTATTTCGTACTTTACATTCACCGTCGTTGAGATTAATTGACAAACTACGAAATTTAAAATTCCTAATAAAATTAAATCCTAAGTTAAGTAACGTCTTCCAACGTTCAATGATATTATAGTTAAGAATTAACATAAACGAGGGAGACGTGTAACAGAAGCATAAAAACTTTTATGTCTCATTCTAAATTTCAAGTGTAAACGTATAAAAAGATTCGAGATAGCTTGCGCGCTCCTGAAGGAAAGAATCGGCGACAGATGACACAGAAAGGCCTAACGAGGACGCATAAATCGGCGGGGTAAGCCTTTGCGGCTTCTAGCAGCGAGAAATTTCTGATAACGGCGGCTCGTAAAAAGCGATTTTCCGATCGTTGACCACGATTTTGAGCGACGACGATGAAAATTGTCGGCCGTTCCTAATGCGAGCCGCGACTCTCCAGCGATATCAACGATGATTAACGACAAACGCGTTCATTCTCTTCGCCTTTCTTTCTCCTTTTTTTTCTCTCTCTCTCTTTTTCCTAGCCCGTCAGTAGTCATAAAAACGAGAAATAACGAGGCTTTACCGAGGACAATGCCAAACGCTCCATTTGCCGCGAAAACGTTAAGCTTTACGGAGTTGTAAACGTTTACAACGTTCCGTGAAATAAAAAATTGAAATTTTAATTCATTGAAAATTCAAAAATATTTTTAACTTATCGTATACTCTCTTTGAATTATTTCCCACGGGATATTTGTATTTTTCTGATTACTGACGTTCAACGAGGTCCCACAGCTTCATTTCACGTGTGAAGATTTCCTTCGAACTAGTATTTTTATTTGTTGAGGAATATTATTAGAAAAAAGAAAAAAGAAAAAAAGACGTCGTTGACGATCTTAAACTTATTACTTTTTTTTATGTCATTCTGTTAGACTCGATTAGCACATGAGACGACGCAAATCTTGCAATTTCCTAGCAAGGTACAATCACAGAATTCGATGAAGAATTCACAAACGAGGAAGGAATTTCTGAAAGCTGCGAGACGATGATTGTAAACGGGCAGAGGTTTCAAACTAAAAGTCACGGTGACGCGGAGTAACCACTGAACACAGCCTGCACATCCCTTCGATTTAGTAAAGTATAACCTCGCATTTTCTGAAAATCCGATTTAATCCCACCTGGGAAACATCGATTCTCATTTCTCATTTTTCGCCTTCGGTGGTTTCCATCCAAAAATCACGCGTTTCAGATTACTGGTCGATGTTTCTTATCAAGTCACAGATATCTTGTAAAATTGATTAGAAATTAGTAGAATACGATGCAAGAAAAGAAAAAAAATTTCTTGAGACCTTGAAATTCAATTTCAAATCGAAAGTGCAGAATTCATTTACGATAGCCACGGACGAACATCCCTTTCCACCTTGCACGTAGATATCGATCACGACCGTCGATATTCCCCGTTAAATCAATCCACGTACAAGCAGACGTTGTCACGTAGCCATTCGTAAATCTCAATCTTATCTTATCAGAGCGTAAGCCAGTGAGCTAGTGCGCACGTGAGTCGGATATTTACAAGGTGGATCGGCCGCTGTAGTTGCAGAAGCGGCATCGTACCACCATGGTCGTTAATTTGTTCGGCGACACGCGAGATCGAGCAACAAACACGATCGACGCTGATCACAGGATTGCCGAGCAAACGGCTACGCGCTGCTACTTGTGTGAATGGCCTGTGAATAGCCTGCTACGTGGATGCCTGTGCAATCAACGTGCTGTGTGTGCAGCGTGTTTTGCAAATGTTTCAATGAAACTTCGCGTACGTATGATCCGGGTACAGTGCCCCTTCAACGGGAGTCGAGTTTAATGAATCATTTAATGTCTGCCGGGGTGATATCTCAATGGGTATCGTGGGATTCTGATCGAAGTTAGAATAGAATTCTGCCTGAAATATCGCCTGAAACTACTTCAATTGATGAAGTTGCGCCGCAGTATAATACCGTTGGTATTTATAGCAGTTTTTAATTGACTGTGCTGTTGAGTATTATCTAATAATACTTTGTCACTAATTGTTGACATATCGCCATTATCAGTTAAAAGAAATACACACGTGTGGCAATATAGTATAGATCAGAACAACCTACATCCCTAAAAATTGCCAGGTTCTAATAGTTCTAGCGCAAAAATACAAGCCTGGAATATACCCGAATCATTTCTACCGATTCGGCAGCGACGACTAAATCAGGATAATTTATAGGTACATCTAAACTTTGTCTTCTTAGATAAATCACTACGTTCCAACAAGAAACAGGCTCGCGCAATCAGCATCTACCACCTTTTTACCATGTCGTAAATAAAAACCTGCTCCACACAGAACCGAGCGAAACGTCTTTGCTTCATCTCTTCGTTATATCCCCTCTCGATCAATTTCTCCAGTAAAAATAAATCGATCGACTGACTGTTACATTAAAAATAATAATAATAATAATAATAATAATAATAATAA